TTTCAGCATCTTCAGTGAGTCCTATTGGATCAACCAGCTGAAATTTGATTTAATATATATAAGTTGATATTAGGAAAGTGACTTTTGGGAGTCTCAATTTATTTTCGGTTTTTAGCAGTTCAGTGTCTATAAACCAATTTTGGGTTATAAATTTACATGTTAAGAATGAGATGCTGTTGACAGAGAAGTGGATTTTAGAGGTCTTGACTATTATTGATGATCCAGATTATTTCAAATTGAAAACAAATAATAAATTGATAAAAAAAATAAACATGGAAAAGAAATTCAGTTGTTCAATTGATTCTAAAATTCTGTTCGATTTCTTCTTGTAGCATTAGTAGTTTTATTGGCAATTTTACTAAATCGATTTTTGTTTGTTTTATAAGGAAAACAAAAAAAAAATACGACAGAGCTTAACAATTTTTCTTTTTTTCAGACGGAAGAGGTAATTTATTGTCAGCAAGTAACTACAGGGGTCAATAGTAAATAAAATATGCTGATTTATAATTGCGCTCTTCTCTGATATCATAAATGGCGTGCTGTCAGTATTTTTATAAGGAAATCTACTTATAAATACCACCGATGTTATTAAAGTCTACATGAGAAGGACTCATACGAAATTTATATAGCATGTTGGGTCGCAGTAAGGTAGCCAGTGTTGGTCAGTTTCTTTCACAGAAAGTATGTGGCAACACCGTGAAGATCCTGAGGCTAATGTATTGGTGGACGCCTACGTTGCTAAGCACTACTATTATATCTTAATAATATCCGGGCTCTATCCCAAGATGGACAAAAGAAACCGCATTTTGAGCACTTTCCAGTTGATGATGTACGTTATTATACTGGTCCACCAAATGGTGATCATTTTAAAATCTACAATCACCATTTATGGATTCAGCATGGTCCTCTTTAGCCAGAACGTCCACTTGTGGCTCCTAATGCAAGTCGCTCTAATCGTACTAGCAAGCTGCGTATGGAAGAATTTAAGCATGTTCCTCGTCCACAGGTTGTTAGCAAACGATTTCTATGATTACCAAGAACCAGCTGCCAATGGGGAGGATATCTTACGTTCCAAAATGAAGACGGAGCGTCGTCGATTAGCTCTCATTCCGATCGGCGTGGCCGTAGCTGCGGGAGTCGTCCTAATTGTTACACCGATCGTCGACTTAAGAGTAGGATCGTTCGATTTCAACAGCACCGCTCACATTTTCGACTACCACTTTCCTCTCCCTTATACCAAGTACCCATATTACGTGGAAGACGGTTTTGGTTTCTGCTTCGCATTTTTTGGACAAGTTGCATGTGGATTGCTAATGTCAGCTATTATCGCCGGTGGGGGTTTTCTTTTTATTAACATGTCGGAGAACGTATGCCTTCAACTGATGATCTTAAACAACTCTTTGGACAACATCGAAAGCAGAATAGAACATCTCTACTCGAAACTATTCGGAAAAATGGATGAAGACCGTATGGATTCGCTTCGACATGACAACCGTTACGCTTATTGCTTCACTAAGTGCCTGAGAAAGAATTTCGAGCACCACCAAGTTATACTGAAGTAATAAATGAATTAATAATTATTTTTCCTGTATCTCACATATTCTGTATATTATACTACATATTTATTTAACTTTCTTTGGAGTTAAACTTTTAAAACATTTTTAGAAAGATAATTTTTTTTAATGAATAATATAACATTCTGTCTATTGTACAATAATTATAGTGAGGAAAGACGACATTCACAATATATACAGGGCGTCTCAGTTTTTAATAACCAAACTCTGGGAATTGATTCTAGAAAAAAACTACAACAAAAAATTTCATTTGGTATACTATTGCGTATGGAAGCATTTATTCAATTTAAAAAATGGGCTGACCAATTTCCAACATAAAAGGAGTTAATTCGAATTTTCTCTTTCCTTGTAGTGGTCACGATTTCTCTTTCATATGAAGCCATAAAACAATTTTTTTTTTTAATAAAAGTATATTTTCATAATTAATATACTAAATTATAAGGAAAAAGTAGGAATTATAATAGTTTCTAGCTTGTTACTTTTGCTGTAAATACAGCATAATTTGTCACACAAATTGAGGTGAATCTGAACTCTATTCGAAAACCAACCTCAAATAAATTGTTATGCAATTAAACCTTTATAAGCAAGTGAGTTTTTATAGAAGCAGGATATCTATAGTATTGTTGTAGAACAATAAAAAAATAAAAAATGGTACGCGCAACACACAACTTTCACTTACCACTCAACTTTGAATAGAAATTATTTTTTGGCCATGTTAGGCTATTATAAAATTTTTTAATTACATTTTTAAATGAGCTAAAGCTAAAAGATTGCAGCTAACAAATTATAAATACTATTAAAATAACAAAAGTCCTACACCGGTTGATTATGGATTGTACGATTCGTTGATTATGGAATGTACAACTATTAGTTATTAAACTGTTATTTTCCGTTGCAAAGTTTATTACAACGGTATTAAGAGATTTACATTGTTTGTCATAGACTGGTCAAAAGTTGTCACTCTAATTGTAAGTTGATTCTGTTGGAATATCGCAAAGGAAAAATTAATCAAATTATTCTCTAATTTAATTTTCTAAAAGGTTACATAATGATTTTTTGGAATGAACGGACGATAGATACCTAATTATTTAAATATAATATCAGGTCTAGAGTTATTAAATTATAGTAAATATATTTAAGGTTATAAACGTAACCATATAATATTTTTATATTTCACTTTTTCTTTCACACAAGTAGAATGAAATAGTATCTTCAACAATGTCATTTTCCTGAATCTGTGGGTTTTAAATATTTTTTAAAAATTTAACAAAATTTACATTAAGGAAGAAAATTTCATTTAATTTTCTTGAAAACGTGTTATTATTTATATTTTTTTCGCCACTCTTCGTTACCTTCTTCAATTTTCTTAGATATTAGTTATTGTTTTTTTCTAAAATTCTTCGCTATACAACGATATAATATACACCTTCTGACCATTATTTCCGGAGATTCATTTTTGACCTGGATAAGTATTTTGATTTTTTTCTCCTTTATATAATTATCAAATTCTTCCAAAAGTTATATTTAGCATTTTTTCATAACTCCTAACAATGATAAATAGTTATGATTTATAATACACCAAATTAAAGGTACTTTAGAGGAAGATATGATAATGTTGAGATTTCACAAACGGAAAATTCATCAAATTATCCGATAATTTAATTTTCTAAAAACTTACATGACAATTTTTCGGAATTAATGTTGATACATAATTATTTAAATATAATATCAGATCGATAATCACTAAACTACAGTAAATGTATTTAAGGTTATGAACATATCCTTTGTATATCCATGAAATGACTTTTTATTTTATTTCTTCTTTCACACAACTACAACAAAATAGTTTTTTTTAAATGTGCTATTGCCTTGCTAGGTCGATTTTAAATACTTTCTACAAACGTTAAAATATTTTTTAAAGTTTACATTTAGTTAGTAAATTTCATTTAATTTTCTTGAAAACATGTGATTTACGTTAAATATTATCAGTTTTCAAAAATTATTATTTACAATTCTTTCCCCACTCTACTTTACTTTCTACAACTTTCTATATTAGATATTGTTTTTCTAAAATTCTCCGCTTTCCAACGATATATTATAATATAACTTCCGACCAGTACTTCCAGAGATTCATTTTCGACCTTGATAAGTATTTTTATTTTTTTTCTCATATATTAATTTTGAAAAAATTTGATAAGTTAATAAAGGAGAAAAAAATAAAAATGAACCTGCGTTGCTATAGACTGTAGTGCCTAAACGATTGTACCGATTTCAATGAAACTTCGCTAGTCATTTTCTCGACACCCTTTAAATTTATCTATGTAACATACTTCAACGAAAAGAAGTTGGAAAAAAAGTTACGAGGGATGGTAAAATTAAATTTCGAATAACTCAAAAAGTATACACTTTTTTGTGGATATTGTGGTAAGATATTTCAAAGGTATTTAAATTTCCTAAAAAATCAAAGCACTACTAGTAGATATATCGTAGATATATATAAAAATTTAAATAAATTATATGAAGTATACCAGGACCCTTAAATATAATTTTATAGGCGTGGTGTTTTTTTTTTTTTTTTTTTCCTTCTTAAATTTAAGTTCTTCTCGCTGATTTTTACCGATTCAGCAGGGTTTGTAATCTATAATTATTTCTTCCAAAATATTATGTAGTAATTATTATATTTGATTTTTAGTTTAATCATGCCTGAATTACACATGTTTATTGAAAAATATTACAATCTGTCTCAAAGGACATTTATAGTAGTGTTCAGAGATCATATTCACATTCCATGTACAATAAATCATACAGAAAAATAATATATATATATAATAAATAAGAATGAAATAACCTAAAAATAAATAAATAAAAAAGAACACATACATACCGATATAATTTTATTTTATTTTATTTTTTCGTATCACTAATTGATCCTCAATTACATATCATACTATAAATTGAAACAGTCTACTGATCATTATAAATAATGTTTGTATGGCTAATTTGCTCCTACCTTATAATAATTATATTTTTACTGAAATAACTTACTTTTACCCGTGTTTAATGCATTAAATTGATTGTGGACATCTCAAACATTAGAATTTTTCCAATTCCACGCAACAACAATTCTGGACAATCAACAAAATTTAAAACGTTATTTAAAAAAAAATAGTTCTAACCATTAAATTATTCTCAAATAAACTTTATAACCACCAAGCCTAATTCCTTGATGACCAAAAGAATTGATTTATGTTTCAGGGCTTTCCACCTCCTCGAAGATATTTCTTCTCTGCCAGTAGGCAGTTCTTATATGACTGGCACTATTGTTATAGCTCTTAGTTTAATATCAGCTGGATCGGTAAGTAGTAATTAAGTCAGTGCAAGTAGTATTATCAAATTATTCGACATTTTTAAAAAATATTGAATAAATTTTAAAAAATTAAAAATTCTGAAACTAAGCAAATCTATTCAAACTGGCCTAATTGGAATCATATCTTCGTTCATGGACTTTTATTTTACCTCCCCTTCCTCGCCTTTCAGGCTATATGGGGTTTCTACGGATTAGGAGTGAGGGCGGGGGATTATATCAGAGGTAAAAGCCCCCGACACCGGAACGCAAACTCGTAACTTGTTCATAAGCTAAATAATGTAACCAATAATGAATAATGAAATGATGAATACATTAGAAATAGGTAATTCACTACAAATTTAAAAGAATTTAGCCGGTGGGCTCGTTTTTATACTCTTCTGTTTGTTTTTTTCTGAGCGCTGATAAGAAGAAAAATGGATATTAAATCTGAGACTGACTAAAAAACTCAGTACTTGTTTGTCTAGGTAATTCATTTTTGTCAGTTACATAATCTGTTATAAAAAAAACAAAAACATAATTTTCTTGTCTTTATGTTATATGCTTTAATAGAAAATAATAATGAACTTATTAGTTATTTTAATAGTGAATATTAAAGAAATTTAACAAAATATTGTAAAGTAGAAAGGTATTATATGTTTTATATATTTCAGAGTATAAAAAAAACAAATTAATTTTAAGCATGGGTGGGTTTCATGGCCCAAGTTGCGCCATAAAAATATGAATAGTGAGGATATTTTGAAAGGAGTTAGAATTTTTGAGGAGAACAAATTTGGTAATGGACTGAGTATAACTGTTTTATTTTAGTTCAAGCACCTTTAATTTTACGGAAAATTGTAATGGGTAATTTAAAATTATTAGGAATATACGTAGTCAGGATTTGCAGTGTGATACAAATAAATTAATTTATTAATGGGAGCAAAAATACAGAGAGAAATATTGGACAAGCTGAAAAAAATTAGGTAATAAAAATAAAAATGACGTTTTAAATTTATCAGATGTGATAAAAAGAGTAAAGTGACAATATGGACAAAAAAAACATATTCATTTATAATCAACGTTAAATTTATTAACAAATTATTTTATGGTAATTTCGTCGATAATTTTATTTCCTATCCAAATTTTTTTCGTTACTATTTTTGTGATTGTTTCTAAATTCGGAAAGTTATCCTCCCAACTTGTACTCATGATTCAAAAATGGGTAGGAAATAAAATTACTATAAAATTTGAAAAATATTAAATATAATGTTAAAAAATATTTTAAAATAAAAGCAACATACATTTCGGATCCCTTCCCCAAAACAAAGTTTCCATAACCTTAATATAAAAATCCCCAAAACAAAAATTCTGGTGTGTCCACTCACACGAATTTCCTACCTATGTCAGAAAAGTATTTATATCGTTACATAAGTCCATCAAGAAACAAAATAAAATTGAATTATATTTATTTTCCTGAAAATTTATCAAAGAAAATATTTAATAAACTAAAGCAATATAAACCGTAGATCTGTGTAAAAATTTCAATAAACTCTAATATTGCTGATCAAAAACTAGAAATAAAAAAATAGTGACGCTAGTGTGAAGCGGGCAACACATTTTCTTACTTTCACTTAGTCATATTTTTTCTCTCGTTCACCCCTTTCTGACACCAGGATATGAACCAATTATCTTACATTGGAAATTGTCCGAAAAGAACGATTTTTTCTCAAGGGGCTATGCAACGTATAGATCCGTCGAAAATTTGACCCGATCGCAATACTTTCCTTACCTAGTATAGGTAGGACAGTAATAAATTAAAACATGTGTGGAAAATAGAATAAGCTGTATTATCATTAATACTGGTTCGATTCCGATGACTTTTTTTTGTTTTGTTGCTGATTTAATTGCCTTCAAAAGTTGTATTATAAATTAAAAATAAAATAAATTAAAAACGTTTTTTCCTGAATTTTCTCGGGAATTTAATTCATATACGAAAATTGAAAGGACAATTATAGAAACATTATAGGGAAGTTTCATCAAACTCGTTAGACTCGTTTTCATGCTACAGTCTACAAAAAACATGTTTTTCATTTATTGCTCAGCAGCTAATGCGCATCGAGCACCCAATCTGTCTCAGGCATCAGTAGTCAAAACCCTACAAAATAAAAAAAGAAGCAACAAAATCGATTCAGCAGTCCTCGAGAAATTCTTAGTGCTGACAGACAGACAGACCAAAAAAATGTAAAAATGTGTTTTTCGGACTGAGAGGTCTCTGAAAACTCAGGCAACTAATCTGAAACTACCTCCTTCAGCACTACTCTAGCAATGTTTCTATTCAATTTCACAACGCAATACACCTAAACTCCAAGCACTTTCATCATTCGATTATATTAGTGGTGACTCACGGGAGCGGGGGAAAAAAAAGGGAAGTTTTCCTTACCAAAATAACCATTGTGAAAAAAATATACCAATATCTAAAATAATAATTTTTATATATTACCGAAAAGAGAAAACTAGTGAGCCCCATCAGTAGACTATCGTTCCAGCAATTATCAATTTTCAAACTCATCATAACTCCCTTCCAATGCAAACCATATTTTCAGTACAAGGGATTCAATCCAACGTAGTTAAAATTTTGAAATTTCGATATCTTATCTTTGGGGCTAAGAAAAAAAATCTAATTTACTTATAACTAATACTCGTAAATAAATTATCATTCATTTGGAGGAAGAAAATTTAAAAATTGACTCCATAGTTGTGGGTTCATCAATGAATTAATTAATTATGTTGTCCGCCCCTTAGATGGCAATAGTTAAATAATTCGATATATGGTTTCTCAGTCATTGATGGTAAAATTCTGGGGGGTGATTCTACACTGAATTTCCAACAAAAAAGTTCATTTGGTGTGATTCTGAGTACACAAACAAAGTGATTCTGAAAGGAGAAGGAGTTGAAACCAATTTTGTCTGGTCACGTTTCTTATTGAATAAGAAGGAATTGCACAAAAACTGTTCAAGGTAATAAAATTCTAAGCAAAATAGGCAAAATGTGTTTGAGAAAATAGTGATTAAATTTACTTAGTTCAATGATAAAACGGTCTAATACGGCCGGTGTACAGATCTCTCGTGAATATGGCACTGTTACTCCAGCAGTACAACGCACAATGGGGCGAGTAAGGGAAAACTCCCGACATTGGCTGAATCAATTTTGTTTGTTTTCAATCAAAATTGAACTATTCAATAAAACTAGTGAAAAATATATATTGTGCTAACTTAAAATATTCTCGGAAACTCCTAGGTATCAATAAAACAGATAATCTAATTTTTGGAGTTCTAAAAAAAAAGAAATAGATTTAGACAGATTCAAATAGATGTCGCGACTTTTCCCTTACCCGTCCATTGTTCAACGGTCGTATTGAACCTCCTGAAAGTATCTTTTATCATTTACATTAGTAAATTTAATGACTTTTCTAAAAAAAAAATTAACTACTTTACGATGATGTACTTAAAATTTTATTATCTTGAAAGGTTTTTGATCATTTTCTTTTTATTCAATAAATAATGTAACCACACAAAATTGGAATAACTTTATGAAATGGTATACATCCAATCAACTTTTTTATTGTAAAATATGTATCATATCAATTATCATACATACAAATATATGATATATAGCTTAAACAGTTTGAGACTCAGTTATATTTCTCTTCATTTTGTGGTCACCTTAACGGTTCCCCTCCTCAAACAGCCTTAGAATTCCATTATTACTGTTTTGGCTCCGTATTATAAACTTGACAATCCGAATTTCGAGATATGAATTGCCTGTGGGATTTTACATTTTAAATTATTCAATGAACTTTCCTATAAAAGGGTCCTAGAGTACAGGTAGTAACCGTACCTTGATATTGAAACCAATTGATGAATTATTATTGGCAAAGGTATCACAATAGACAAATCAATGATTCATCTTAGCCGAAACCCCTGTTAGCTTAAGACAAAGGAAGTAAGTATTTCTTGAAACTGTGTTTCTACTTTGTATTTTCAGGCGAAAGAACTTCCGGGAACAACGGTGGCTTCGATGCTTATGTGCGCTGTCGAAGTTGGCTACATGTTCCTCTTCTCTGTCATGGGTCAGCGGTTTACTGATTTGGTAATACACTCTCTATATTAACATGCTGTCATCTATTTTACGTATACTTTCTACAATGTTACTAAAGCGACTCTTTCCATTCTTAGAAGCAATCAATGTTATTCTTAATCACCAATTTGGCTTTAGACCTGCACATTATACAACAATGTCATAGAGTGATTGATACAATTGCTGTGCCATTGGAAAAGAAGGAACTTTGCACAGCAGCTTTCTTAGACATCACAAAGGCCTGATAGTCTTCTTTGTAAAATTAAATCGATCATAACGTATACTTACTATTTAATTATTAGATCCTACCTTGAGGATAGATTTTTCGTTGTCAACCAGGATGGTAAACATTCTGACTATTGCCAAATCGTCGGTGCAAGAGTACCGCAGGGCAGTATATTAGGTCCAGTTCTGTATTCTATTTACACTTCTGACATTCCACAGACGCCAGACACTTTACTCGCAACTTACGCAGACGATACTGTCATACTCTCGACGGATTTTAATTCTATCGCAGCATGCCAAAAAGTACAAAAGTACAGATTCATTTAAATCTACTTACTACTAAGACAGGCTACTAAGAATGGCGCACTAAAATTAACAAAAATAAATCAAATCTGGCTATATTTACACTTAAACGATCGGATTGCCCTCCACTGACACTTTACAACATCCCTTTGCCAAATGATAAGGAGAAAAAATATTTAGGACTCACAATGGACAGACGACTGACCTGGAGATCGCACGTGACTACACTGAAAAAGAAATTGAACCATCGGTGATGTCACTACTAAGACGAATGCTACACCTTAAACAAACTATCACTTTCTATCACAATTATTATATACAACATGCTACTCATACCAATATGGACATATGCTACTCAGATGTGGAGTTCATGCAAAAAACACACTTAAATACTATTCTGATCTTCCAATCTAAATTTCTCCGGTATATCACTCATTGTCCCTTCCACGTAACCAATTAATCGCTTCGTAAAGACCTAAAAATACCACAAGTGACTGGCGTAATTAGAAGTGTTACAAAAATGTTCACGACTCACTTATTGGACATCCTAATCCCCTCGTACAGGCTTTACTAACAGACACACTACGACAAAATCCAACAAAAAGACCCAAACGTCTCTGGAGCAGGGATTTACATTAAGAGGTGTAGCGTTAGGAGAGCCTTCGCTAGGAGATTTCTCCAATCAAGCATTCATGTTAATCCTGCAGAAGAAGTTGAGGAATGATGATCAGATTTACAATATATGCCAAAGGCATTTGTGAAGATTTCCAATATTTGTTTTATTCATCTTGAATATATTTTATGTTATAAGCCATGTTAAATATTTATTTTTGAGTACAGGTTCAAATCAAATTTTCAGAAATGTTTGAGATAAAACGATATCAGTTAATGAGATTATTGCCACTTTTCATTCATAAATTCAAAGCTTAAAAAATATACATTTGAGGCAAACACTATTCAGGACAATATTCACTACCTAGATTGAAGATGACTTAACAGGATCACTAACTCCCCAACATCCCAAAAGAAGTTTACGAGGAAATCAACAGATTTTCTAATAAAAGAGCAACAAGCTATGATTCATTATTATATCTAGTGCCACTCATTCCTTAAAGCCGTTCTCTTTCTGACTCACATCTATATTATTATCTTACACATACATATTTCTCACTCGTTAGGATACTTTCTACAACCAAAATGATTTCAAATTTTTTCAAATCCACCAATAAAACTCTATTTTATCCTCTTATTTCACTCCTGTCTATAAAGGAGATAAATATTAGGAAAACTATATCTAAATAGAATAAAACCTATCCTAGAAACTCTTGTAGTTATATCAATCCACGAATTCGATTTCGTGCGTATTACTCCGTCGTACAACAGTCATCGAATAATGCATCTCTGTTGGTTTCCAGAAAATGAATACTGATCTGAAATCTTCCTAGGCAATGATAAATAAGCATTTGACAGGCCAGTATTTCAAATAAAGTGTATTAAAATACATAATTAAATACGTTTTTTGTATTTTTACATTTTAGATATATAGAAAAATAAACTTTATTCTAGTACGAAGTCCCTTTAGAATAACAATGAGGAACAAATATTACAAAAAATACATATCTGACCAAAAACTAACTTCATAAAGATTCTAACAATATATGAAATAATTTAAATAATAATATGGAAACACTAAACAAATAAAAAATAAAATCTTCTCAAGAACAGTTATAGTTGTAATGGAAAAATAAATTATACATATATTGAGAAAGAAATAATATGGACAACAAAAAAAAAAAAAAAAATAAAAAATAAAACAATCTGTATTTTCTTTTTAAAATATAAAAAAGGTATTTGTATTTTATTACCTATATACTAAAATACAAACCGTGCATTTTATTATTTTTTTTTTTTATTTATGAAAATACTCAAAAATAATAGAGTAAGTTTTACCTAATTTGCGAACTTTATAAATAAAATTTAATAACAAAGAACAACTTCTAATCTTAACGTGCATTTTACATTTTCTTTTATTTTATCTAATTATTAATATTTATAACCAAAATATATAATTTTAATTTACGGCGTTGATGACCAACAGGTTCTACGCCTTTACTACACAACCAACCAACCAATAGAGTAAGTTCTCTATATTATATGCTAATCATCCACCAGAAAGTATTTTATATTTGTAATTTTTTTTGTGATTAAAATACAAAATTCTTTTTTGTATTTTGTATTTGAAATGCATTTTCTGAAAACAATTTAAATACTTTGTAATTAAAACATAATGTTTTTAAAAACACAAAATGTATGGTATTTTAAAATAATATTTAAAAATACATTTTTCTCAGGTCTGGTCTGACGTAAGGGTATGTTATGAAAAATGAAACCATATATTCCAACAAGTTAATATTTTGTGACTTACATATAATATACAAGTTACTACATAGTAAAAATCAATTATAGTATGAGAAAAAAATATTTAATTCTGAATTTGTGATTTCCTCACTTCTCAACTTCGGATTCCTTAGCAGGAAATTAATAATGTGATTAAAGCGTAGGAAATTCGATATATGGAACATTTACAACTAAATACATCGAACGAAATCATTATAATTTTGGATTCAATAATGTTTCTAAGCTTTTTTCGTCAATCCCTAACCATCTTGGTTTTCTATATGTTTGGCAATTTAATTTTAATCAGGCAAGAACCTTTTCTCTTTCTCTGTCAGCCAATAGTGTTGAAGTAGAAAGATAAAATTACGTCGCATGTTCTCAAAAAACAGAACTAGAATCACTTTGTGTTTTAATTGGACGTCGTTGTATATATATCTCTGACAATATAAAGGTAACAAACTAATATTTTTAAAAGCTTCCCTTGATGTGAAATTCTTTTTATTCATTGTAACATTCTATAGAGATAGTTTTCAAAGTGAGCCGGAAAATATAGAAAACCTTCCTGGTATATTATAAATATATTTTTTCTAATAACATGTTTTCTTCTACTTCCAGTCTGAAGCACCTCTCTCTCCCCCACTCATAATGAAAAAATACTTTATTTTCATTGGTTCATATTCAGTAATCATTTAAACGCCATTTCATACAGGTAGGTCGTTTCTTACTTTTTCTTCCTAGGTAATTATCGTTTTACGTATAAAAAAAACTTTTAGCCTAAAAATCTTCCCTCCCAAAAATTAAATCCTGGAATCGATACTCTCTGGAATCGAATCCCTCACTTTTCCATTTTTTTCATTACGTAAAAAAAACATATATATACGCTTGATTCCGGCGAATTATTTCGAGAAACTTTTAAATTGTTAGAAACCTAGTGTGAAACTGAAGATAAGAGAAAATACTCCAAAAAACATCGACTCGGATCCACCAGACGGGGAAGAAATAGAGGAAATCATCGAGGGCCTAAAAAGGAATTTAATCATGAAAGTGTTCAGTTATGTGAAAATTGTCCATATATGAAATGTAGTAAATACAAAGTATATAAATACAAATTGAAAATATTTGAATACAATTTTGTATGTAAATCAGACTCAAATTTCAACAATGCGGGTATTCATACAACCAGTGCTAATTATTTAAGCCTCTAAAATGTGGAAAGTCAAGAAAATTATTTACGAAATGTGTGATTAATATGGACACTAGTTATCTATGGCGGGAATTCGCGGAGTTATCTATGGGAGAATTCGAAATGGCCGATCCTGAAGTGGCTCAGTATTATTTCTTCTTACTTTAATCCTCTGCACCTAGTGGTCTATTTTGACATCTAGCACTCTCGATTTTAACGCAGCCCAATGTCTTGTAAAGTGTTTCAACTTCGTAAATGCACAAAGAAGCTAATATTTTAATTGTGTCTCGTTCTTTGTTCTTTGTTTGTGTACAATATTCACAGAAATGGAATGTAAAGATAACTAGGATTTCATCTCAGTATTCATCAGGTTCGTTGCATTCGGAATCATTTGAATTTCAGTCATGTTTTCTAATAAATCATTTTAAAGCAATTATCCAATAATTCTGTATTTTCACTTCGCTTTGCCATTTTAAAAATGCATCAAAACGTAAGTAGAATAATTAAGAACTCACAAACTTTGTTTACAGTAGATATTACCTTGCCAGACATTTACAACAATTGAATGAATACCCCTAATATAAACTAAAATACCGCTAAGACTTTCAAATCCAAAAGAATCATACCAAACTCTTTAATTGTTATTATGATTTTTTCAGAATACTGAACTTAGATCCAAGATCTACAATACAAGGTGGTACATGTGCAGCAAAGAAGTCAAACGCACTTTGATGATTTTCCAAGAGAAGACTTTAAAACCAATGATCATGACAGCGGGAAAAGTCGTCCCAGCCAATATGGAGACATTCACTACGGTAGGTGGGACAGGAAACTGACATATTGTTTTTTAACTAATTCAGCAATTTAGGCTGGAGAGTACCAATTGTTTTTATTATATATGTATATATTGTATCACCTTGACGTGTCATGATAATATGTTCACTCATTTTTTCAGGTGATGAATGCTGCCTATTCTTATTATAACTTAGTAAATGCATTTGGCAAAAAATAAATTATATTTATGATGTAGTCATTGCACCATTAAAAATATTATTATTGCAACATATTGTGTTTCTTTTCCTCGCCCCTTACGCATTAATATCTATTCCATTTATTTATTATTGAATGCCTACTGAATTATTTTTGTAATGAATTATTATTTATCTTTGCTTCTACCCCGAAGGATCACTGACATTTCTTCTATTTGTATTCTCGGTGATAAAACATGATTCGTTTTAAGTATTGCATTAGGGATTTCAATGCAGTTTCTGAGTCTTTCATTATTTATCTTACGAATCACTCAAGCTTAGAATTTTTCTTGTGCGCGAATACCGTTGGCACTCAACCAGTAAACGGGTGATTGTCCTAGGGGCGCCGCAGTCAACACAGGTAGGGGATTCAAAACCGCGGAGTAGATATCCACGGGAGTATTCGAGATGGCCGATCCTGAGGTAGCCCATTATTATTTCTTCTTACCTTAATCCTCTGCAGCTAGTGGTCTATTTTGATTTGTTTTCTTTTTCCTGGATTAATTTCTGCTGGTAGCTCCTCCAGGTCTCGTTCCACTGTGTCACCAGCATGAATTTGAACTTCATTACCCAATCTTTCCGGGGGGGACAGTATTGGGTTCTTAGTTGGCTTCTGTCACCTATTCGAGCTGTCCACGAGGTAATAGCTACTCTTTCGAGCAGATAAATAATGAAACTAAATAAAAAAAAATAAACTCTGTTAAAGATATTCTTGGCTAGACATCCGAACGAAATCCTAATGATTACCCACATGTTTGGATCGAAACCTCGGTTAACCCAATAAAGGGTCTTGTTTAGATTAGGTCCGTCAGTTATTTCATCTAGTAACAGTTACTTATTGATAAATTAAAAAATATGGGTTAAAGAAACATATGATTTATTCAATAGAAACTTTTTATACATAACCAAAAACATTAACATACTTTTAATGAGTTACTCCAGGTACCTCTGGAGGCCAAAATTCTACTATGTCCTTAAGGATTTTATCAAAAACGTCTTCATTTGAGTTTCTCTGACTCCACAAGAAATCACATGAATACGAGTCTAACATAGAGTGATGAGTCCCACCAAAAACATTTTAATACTTAATTAAATAATATTTAAACATGTGATTTTATTTCTATATCAATCATATCAAGTTTTATAATAACTAAATATCAATAAAAAATCACCGGCCGGCCTAATCTAAACAAGACCCCCAATAAATACTATCATGACTGAAATTCCTAACAATTTTGTTTCAAATTCTGTTAAATATTAAATATAATAAATATTTCATAATCATAACATGGATTGAGGCAATGTTCTTGTTGATGAACTGATAAAGAGCTTGCACTCTCTTTCTAGTAACTCGACCATCCGTCCCTTTACTGGATTTTAAATCTTAAAAAAAAATATGGAATGAAAAATGGCTCTGGATAAACAAGCTATTAAACTGAAAAAATGTTAGAGAAACTACAAATCTATATATCGTTGTCATTCGAGAAAAAAAAAAGACGAAGTCAGTACAACAAGATTTAGGAACGAGCACATGAAGCATACCCACAGGTACCTAACGAAGGGAAACCGCCTATTTAACCGATTGCCGACAAGCGCTAAACCTGTCTTCTTATGTATTATTTCTCAAATATATATCCCTTTTCCGGCTCTCGGGAGTAATGGATTTTGACGAATGAGGTATCAATAGAAAGGAAATATCACGTACAGTGCGCGAATCGTAATTTTGATCCCTAATCAGACTTCAGACTAGACAATATAATGACAATAGACGACGCTTTATTCTACCAATGGAATAACTCTTTCATAAAAACAGATATATCTCTTTCTAGGAAAATACAAACTGACGACGACCAATTCGTCAAAAAACACTTATTTACAGAAATGAAACACAAATACCACAGACACACAACCCTTTATACAGATGCCTTCAAAAACAGATAGTGACGTATGATGTGCAGTAATACTAAAAGACCAGTGCCTCAAATTCAATTTGCCCCAAATAAACAACGTCTTCCCAGGCGAACTATTCGCCATATATCAGGCTCTGTTATTAATAACAGGAAAAAACATAAAAAATGGCCTTATAGTTACAAACTGTTTAAGCTCATTAATGGCCATTGCCGAAGGGAAAGCCGACAATGCCATTTACAGGAAAATCAAAAACTGCCTCTGGGAAATGAAGGAGTCGTCGGACAGAGACATCGTCATCGCATGGTCACCCTCACATTGTGGCATATCTGGGAACGAAGCTGCAGACAGAGCTGCGAACCTGGCAAGAAGAAAAACTAATGGAACCACAATGATCAATTTAACGACCACTGCTGATTGGAGATTGGAATGCAAAAAAATCGTAAATGAAAAATGGCAATTCGAGTGGAACCAATCTACGAATAAATTGCAAGAAATCAAAAAAGATACCAAACCGTGGACGACCTCTTTCAGAAAGAACAGGAAAAAAGAAACAATCTTAACTCGGCTTAGAATTGGACATGCAGCCTTTACCCATGGCTACCTATGAGAGGCCTGGAACCACCATTTTGTAAAACATGCAACACATCACTTACACTGAAACACATTGTAACAACTTGCAGACTATACTCTGACACCAGAACAAAACATAATATACCTTCCAACATAGCTGAAGCACTTTCAGATGACGAAGAAAAGATACAAAAAGTGTTTGAATTTATAAAAGACATTAAATTTGTACACCTAATTTGATTACATCTAAAGCCGCTAATGACCCGATCGGGTAGATGCGGAATGTAACAATAAATAAATAAATAAATGATCCCTAATCTTATACCAGGAGTTAAATAAAAGTGAATGTAAAAGTAGGAGGTTTCAACCATATGACCAAATTTTAGTACATTATACACATCAGTATTTGAAAGCTTACTAAATTTCTTACAAAAGATAAAAAAAAAAATCAACGAAATAGATAACAGTTGTGTCAGATAACATATTTTCACTGCATATTTTTTTTTTTTTTTTTTACTCTTAATCTCGGTTTATATTAATCATGAGAGCTCTATTACATCAACTTTATGTTTGGTATATTTCTATAGTGTGAGTAAAATGTCTAAATAGAACAATTTGTACCGACCCTAGGAGTAAAGTGGGTTATAATATTTTTTAAATGAGTAACCAAGTTGAGATATGTATTTCGCATCTCGGACAAATCACCAAATACGAATTTTCATAACAATCAAAAAATAAAAATAATTTTCACGAAGTCTGACCTAAGCTTCCTAAGGAGTTTTAGAACCTGCAAATATTCTTATTCTGTTACATCTGGGAAGTTATTTATCAAATTGGGAATTTACCCTTTTTTTTCCGGAGTACAATATATTATGTATCATTTAGTAATTTTTTTTTAATTTCAAAACATTATATTCTTTTTATTTAATTAAATTATTAATTTATTTTTGTTTATATAAATTTGTTTTCCTTTAAACATTTTTTGTTTCAATGTGCTTCGATCACAATAGCATTTACTTTTAGATTTTTATTATTATAGTTTATCATTTTAAAAATAGGCTTTCGATTTTTTTTTTAATGAAAAATTAACATACACCTGATTGGACTAACTATTCCTCCCTGAGATTTACAAGCTTTTGTCGCCATCAGATGTTCAAAGCAATGTTTAGAAGCTTTTGTTAATTACCAGCTAATAGTAGCATAATGTGATCTGCGCAATAAATCACGGCATCAAGTGATAGCAATTAGTGAATTAATTACCAAGTACAACAATTTATCAATTATAGAGTATTTAAAGACATCAGAACCTTTCATAAATTGTAAGTTATGACAACATGATGCCTTTAACCTAATGTAGCAGGTAACTATTTCATATTTCACTTCATTAAATTAATTTACGATAGTATCAATTTCAGATACATTTTTGCGTTTTGATGAAGAATAGTAAGTATCTTCTACTACACACATATCCATGCAGCAAGGAGAGAACCTCCTAAATATCCTCACCATTTCAGGTGTACTGAGAGGTTCTTGATGTACAACTAAATCTATATTCTGACCAGTGTGAAAAAATCGGTATTAGTTCATTATCATTAAAATAAATTCCAACCCGCCCAAAACGGATTTTAATGACAACCTTCAAGAAAATCACAATAGATGCTTTCAAAATATGAATAACGAAAATGTCGTATCAGTCTGAAAAAAAAAAAAAAGTTAAAAGCCCTTGTATAACAAGAAATATTATACGATAAAAATGAGAAAACTAAGTTGACAAAGGATTATAATTGGCTGTTTTCTAAGTAGCACATCGCAGAGTAATGAATCAGGATAGAATTTCTTCTAATATTCGTTGTTGATAGATCAGGCTAATAGAACTCAATATTTTCTCTAAATTGTAATTTCTACTTCATAATAGAGTTTGGAGGCGGAACAAGATAGGTTTTTATTTACAAAAAAAAAACATTTTAATGGAATTCTTTCGTCCTTCAAATGACCTAGAGATAAAAACTTCTCGTGATTGACGAATTATGAATGAGTCTTTTCTATTATCTTCTTTTACATACTGATTTCAACATACACGACACTATTAATTTCTAATAATCTTATTCGAATCAATAAGTAAGCATAAAATGAGTTTAGATGGCCTTCATACCTAAGGGAAGAAGAGAGAGTAAAGATGGTTGAATTTTGTATTCAAAATATATAGTTTCTTAAAAATATAAATATAAAATATCATTAAATTTTTGTTATAAAATATCTACCATCATACTATACTTACTCACATAATTATGCAAATCACACTCGTAGACGCGAAACTAGGTTTCCATTTTGAGATTTGGAGGTACTGAAAGTATAATCCGTGGTACCGACCCCTTTTTATCGAATTATTTACATCCGATTGAAACTTTGTAAATAGTTTTATCTCATCGTAGCCTACAACTATTTTATTCACGAAAACTCTTGAAATGGGGTCGTTTTCAATCAGGAGGGGGACAAACTTTGTCTATTTAATTATCTACTAAAAACTCCCAAATATACATTATATTGAATATTCCGTTATGCAATTTATTACCTGATCGCACTGCCCTATTGAAAATTCATGCAATTATATTCTCAAATATATCGATCGCAATATATATATGTGCCTAGTTAATCAAGTATACAAATTAGAAAACATTTTGTAGTCATTTATAAAAAACTAGCGAGATAATATTTCATAACCGTTATAAGGTTGTCTCAGGTTGCATCAAAAGATGGAAGTCATTCATAAGTGTATAAACGAAAACACTAAAAAATATTTCTGCTAAATAAAAATAATTTTTTTTTAGAAAAAGTGGTTGTTTTTTAACTATTTCAATTTAATCACTTACTTCCAAAATGAACCTCTATCGATTATTATAGAAATCGAGATAAGTATCGATCTATATATAAAACACCCAATGAATCCGATGGCGCAATTATCTTTTTTTCACACACGAACCTAAATATTAAAAATCGTGCAATGAAAATAAGTGTATTTCCAAAAACGGTCTTTTTCTTTTTTTCAAGGAATGTAATGAAACTTCCATTTTTCAAGGATTGTTAAACAAGTAACAAAACAGACAATTTTTTAAGACTGTTATTCAAATGAAAATTCAAAATCAATTTATTTTCTTCTACCATAATTTAAAAAAAAAGTTTTTTCCTACCGAATAATATAACACTTCTTGTCTCAAAACCAAACAGTAATCTAAATTTTGTTTTGTTTGAAAACTGGCCTTGAGGTCAAGTTTTTCCCTAAGCGACCCTTGTTTCATATATATATATATATATATATATATATATATATA